TGAGATCTGAGGCCCTGCTCAGATCGGCCCTGCACCTCCAGAAAGACTAGAGCCAAACCAGCGCTGAGGAGGCCAGGATCAAAATGGCCTCATCCTTGGTGGGGAGGGCCCATGGCCTCCCCAGGCTCTAGAAGGCTTGGAATCCCCCAAGGATTCACAGCTTCACGGCGAAAGTGCTTTCCCCAGCAATGCTTTTCTGGTCTGAGGCCCTCGGTTCCAAACTGTAGCTGCTAGGGGCATCTTCCTCAAAATCTGAGACCGTGACGCAGAGGAAGAAGTAGTGACTCTTTCCCACTACCCCTTTCCAAAGGAAACCCAGGCTACCCTTTTTGTTTTGCCATGTTGTCCTCTTCCGAGGGAGCCAACGCCCAGGGGAGGGGGCTGTCTCCACACTCAGCTAGTTGAGAAGGCTCTAATAAGGTGACTTATGGGGCCTGGGGCCTGATCATTCCCAAGGGAGCTCAGCACCTTCTGCCTCCCTCCAGGAGGGAAAGCCTTATCCAATGTAAAATCCAGCTAGTTACTGGTCTTCCTTAAAACAAAGAACCAGCTGAATGCTAAGTAACCTGATGGCCAGGCCCAATCTGAAGTTAGAAAACAACAACAGCCAAAAAGAAACAACCAGAAAGAAAGGAAAAAGCCCAACCCTAGTGTGCAATGCCGACCTTCCTGACTGGGGGTGACAAGGACAATTATGGAGGATGGGAGATGCGACTCTCTTAGCAATGTCTCCAGAGGTGCTCAGGTTGGCCTCGGCAGACATTGTCAGCAAGCGGCCCTAGCCCAGCTGTGAGCAGCAAGCTCTGGGCCAGCCACCCTGCAGATGGGCAGCAGGCCCTCGACTGGCCACTCTGCAGACGGGCAGCAGGCCGTCTCTGCGGACGGAGCGCCAGGGCCCCCAGCACTACTCTCCCTCGGGCTCCGGCGGTAGGACCTGCTTCACATCACACAAGGGATGCAAGGCTGGGTCATTTCCTTGCTCCCAGAGCACAGAAGGCAGGCCAGATAACCCCTCCAAATGCATGTGACTTTGCTAACAAGAGGAGAAACTGAGACCACAAAAGGGCTAAGACTACATGATCAGAGACCATGGGACCTCAGACCTCCCGCTAGGAGGGACCTCGGCCCCCTAGGCTCGCAGAGGAGGAAAATGAGTCCCAGAGAATTGCTAAGACTGGCCCAAGGGTGCTTGGTCATCAGGTAGGCTAGTGGAAACTTGAACCCAGGTCCTTTGACTCTGAACCAACCTTCTTTCCAATGCACCACTGGTCTAATTAAGGCAAGTAGAGCTGGAAGGGACCCCAGCCACCCAACCCCCTCATTGGACGAGACAAGAACAGCAGGTGACTTGTCCAAGGTCACCCAGGTGATAAGGATCAGAGATAGGGTTCAAACCTTCAGAGTCTAGCCCCTCTCTGCTCCGTCTCCTCAGAGCCAAGGGGTCTTCTGAAAGAAGTTCTGCAGATCCAACAAAATGCACCCAATGCCTCCTCCTGAGCTCTCGTCCCCAAGGCTCACACCTTCCTGACCCAGCTGCTCACCATGTCCCCTCTGGCAAGACGTGCTCCCCCAGGCCCAGGTGTAGCACCTTCTCATGGATACAGAAACAGGCCAACAGACACCAGCCCGTAAGAACCCCTGACCCCCTGCGCCCGAAAGGAAACCGAGCTTTTCCAGAAAGCTGCCCACCACGTTTCTTCTTATTCTCCTCCTGGCAGCCCTGGGGGGCAGGAAGCTGACCCCTCTCAGCTGTGTGGCCAGCCACAGACAGACCGACAGCTCTACCCGCAGCTGTCCCCACAAGCGGTGAGCCTCGGCGGAACCCTGTGGACACATGCCTGCCCAGCGAAGTGACTGTGAACAGGGGACAGGCAGACAGAAGCCTCGATCACTTACCCATCATTCCGCAGGAGAAAAGTGTGGGTCCTTGACTCATCTTCTCTGGAGTGTGCTGAAAACAACCAGAGAAGCGGGTGATGTCTCACGGTCTTAGAGAAGGGGTCCCCTGTCCCCGAGCCCCCCGCTAACACTGCCCCCCAAGGGGGTGATGGCCTTCTGCAGCCCAGGGTGGTGGAAAGCAGCAGCAGCACTCAGTTCAAGGCCCTCCGTGTGCAGAGCATTAGGGCAGGGCGTTTTGTCCAGCATCTCACGGGAGTTGTGGATTCCATCATTTTAATGGGCTTAAAAAAAAAAACCGCGTGACTTCTGACATGAGGGGATTTTTCCATGTGAGGATGTGGAGGAGGGCAAGGGAGGAGATGTGATAGGAAACAGTTGAACAAGCTCTACCAAGGAGTTCTGAAATGGAACCCCGGGCCGGCTGAGGGAGGGCAGAGCCCAGCAGAGGGAAGGCAGGCCCAGGAGGAGGAAAGGGCCCAACCAGGCCCGGGAGCCATGCCCCCCAGGGCCAGTGGAGGGAGGGCAGACCCAGGAGAGGGAGGAAAGGGCCCAGCCGGGCCAGGGAGCCGTGCCACCCAGGGCCAGCGGAGGGAGGGCGGGGCCAGCCGGGCCGGGGGACCCCTCTTCTGCCCCACGTGGAAACAACAGACAAAGCAGTCTCAAAGTCAGCCTCAGCCCAGCTAGGCTATTTCCTGTTCTTCTTCTCTTATAGGGACCCAAATAGGAAAACCAAAGTCACACTGGAGAAGCGACCCACTACCTCTGACTTCGGCACCTCAGTGTCCCATTCCATTATAACTGTTCCCACCGCCCACTCACCCACCTCGGCTGAAGGCTCCTAACACCCTAGGACCAGACCAAGGAAGGACCAGCTTCATTCATCCCACCCCCCATCTTACAGAGGAAGAAACTCTGGAGCCCCAGGGGATAAGCGGGTTGGCCCAGGTCACCCAGAGAGAAGCGTCAGAGCTAGACTGGACCTCGGGTCCCTCTGACTCCCAAGCCAGGCCCTTTCTACCACCGACAATCAGGAGAGCCTTGCATTTGTATGACACCTGACACTCACTAGTCACGTCTTCCAAGGCACCTGCCTAGCATCGTTCCCCAGAGCCAGGAGGCTGGCCCAGGCCTCAGCTGTCCAGGATCTCCAGTCCTTGTGATGTGGGAGGGACCCAGACCTGATCCAGACCAGCCTGGGCAGCTGGAGAGCTAAGCCCAAAGCAAAGGGAAACGTCCCTCCCCCACCTCAAAGAAGTGAGACTCCCCAAGCCCGGGGAGCCCCCAGCAGTTCTAAAGGATTCAGGCCTCAAGTCTGCATTCACACGCAGAACTGAGGACAAGAGTGGGCTGGGTGTTGACGACCGCTACAATCACCTAATGAGAACGATGCTGATAAATATGCTTCGTGCCTGGTAAACGTCACTGGAAGGGGCCCGGGCGGCCCGGGCAGCTGTGCCCAGAGAGGAAGGCTGCCAGGGAAACGTGTCCCTACACATATCCAACAGAGGCCTCAAAGGGCCTGGAGGATCCCGGTGGAGCCCAGAGGGTCCCAGAGAGGTCCCAGATCCGCACTGGAAAGGCCCTTCGAAGTCAACCCCTTCCTTTGGTAAGAACTGGAGCCCCTGAGGTAGCATGGTAAGGACAAGGCCAGGATTTGAACGCAGGTCCTGGGACCCCAGAGGCTGATCTGCCCACGAGGGTTATCCTAGAGGGGCCATAATCACAGAGGGGGATCGTGAGTCAGAAGGGGGCAAAGAAAGCAGGTTGAAAAGGGGGGAGGGGTCTCAGTCTCTCCCCCCAGCTGCCGGCTCAGGACTGCCGGGCTGCAGACAAAGCCAGGAAGCAAAGTCGGGAACTCAGCCATTATTCTGAGAAGTGAAACTCACCCAGCTAAAACTGTCTTTACTTTTCACGAAGCCTAAGGCTTCTGATCCTGAGGAAATGCAGCATTGGGAAAAGCCTGTGAGCCAGAGCAAGGCCTTTGTCCAAACCAGCAACTCGGCCTCCGCTGGACTTCCAGCCCTCTCTGTTCAGAGGCTCAATGCTTGCTTCTAAGAGAGGATCAAATGGAGAGAACAAGGTCCATGGGTGGGCAGGACCCTGATTGCTGGGTTACGTCCGGCCCCCACCCATCTTCCCAGACCAACTTCCCAAGTGTCCCCCAACACGCTCTACATTCCAGACAACCTGGCAGTATATCTCATCTCCCACCTCCAGGCCCTTGCACAAGCTGAGCCCCATGCCTGGGACACTGTTCCTCTTAGATCTCATCTGTTCACCAAGGCCTACGCGAGGTCTCTCCTGATCCCCCCAGGTGCCAGCGTTCCTGCCTCTGAAATGATTTTGTATTTTCTTTGTATTTGGCATTTCCTCATTTGGAACGTTCTCCGTCCTCCTCTGTATCCGCTGGCTACCCTGGCTTCGGGTATCAGCTAAGATCTCAGCTTCCACCGGCAGCTGGAGGCTGCCCCTCAGCCTGTATATATAGCTGGTTGAAGGCATGCCATCTCCCCCACGACACCGGGCGCTCTTGGAGGTCAGGATGACCAGTGCTCTGAAGCATGCCCAGGCACAGGGATGGGAACCCCGGCTTTGCTCTGGTCTGACTCATCGAGCTCATGCCACACAGCCTCAGTAAACCAGAGCCGTTTACCGGGTCATCAAAGCAGAGCTCACCTCGTCCTTTGGAGAGTCAGCCCTTGAACCCCCGATGGAATAAGGAACGAGGGCCAGCAGAATGGGGGAGGGGGACGCAGCTGAAGCCAAGAGTCTACCTTTAGGGCAGGCTCCGAAGCCGACAAAGGACACATATCAATGCACTGTTTCATCGGATCGTCACAACAACCCTGTGAACGATGATTAATAATAACAATAATCACTAACATTCCTACAGCCTTTTCAAGTCTGCCAAAGACTTCACCAATATCAGCACACGGTCCTCACAGCACACACGTTCTATTATTATTCTCACTTTACAAACGAGGAAACCGAGGCTGGGAGAGGCTAAGGGACTTGTCCAGGATAACACTGCTAGTCAGTATCCCAGGCAGAATTCAAACTCAGGTCTTCCTGACTCCGAGTCTAGGAATCAGTCTACTGCTCCTCCCAGCTGCCTCGTGAAGTAGGGAGCTCCCTGTGACCGAGGGAGGCCAAGCCCTGTCAGCCCCACTTTACAGGGAAGGAAACGAGGCGCCAAGTGATTAAACGATCTGCCCTTGATTCCTTGCCTTGGAGTCCAGCTGGAGGACCAGAAGTGGACCCTGTAGCGCTCTTCCCACCACACCACGCTGCCTCGAGGACTGAAGAATCAAGAAAAGCAATCGATTTATTCCATGTGTGTGTCACAGCTTAACCAAGCAGGGAACAATGACCACAATTCACTTGTTGAGCGCTTATTCTAGAACTGACGTCTCTTTAAGTAAGGCCTTATTTCTGTCTCCCTACGGTCACTCGGGCAGAAAAGTGTGCTTGCTTTGAGATGCAGAGGTCCTTGAGCCTGGCTTCCTAACACGAAATGCAGAACTTGTGAAATGCAAGCACGTCTGTGTGTGCTCACTGGCCCCGCCAGGAAAGAAGGCCTTCCCTCAACTGAGAGCTGGACGAGATCGACTAATTGTTCCTCCTCCGGAGCAGCCATTAACCAGGCCAGCCTTCACCCAGGACGTACGTGGGTCTTTGTAACTTTTTTTTCTATACGCCAATTACTCAAACTATTATGTAATCTTCCTGCTCATGTAATTCTACAGGGAAGCCTTCCTGCAAGAGAGAGAAAATGAGAATCTCACATTTTCAGGGCGACAGACTGTAACATGAGGAACAGAAAATTATGAATTTCATGGCACCAAAAAGCAGAAGGAAGACCCAGAACTCTGAGGAAGAACAGAAGTAGCTGCAAGATGAAGAGCGTGACTTGAGCTTGGGGGCTTTAAGAGAAATCTTATTTGGGGGACACAGAGGGAATGGATTGGGGGGATGGGGAAAGGATGGGGAGGGGAATGGATTAGGCCTGTGCCTCAGTTTCCTCATGCATCCAACGGAGATGATGATACCTGCCTCACCCACCCCTCAGGAGAGAGCTGAACAAGAATGTGCCTTCTACAACGTACCAGACCAGTGGTCACCCAGCCTCTCTCTCAGCCTGAAGCCCTCCGGGGGAACAGGAAACCCACTCCCCTCAGGAAGCCCACCTGACCTGGTGGGCAGCTCTCATTGTTAGGTGGTTGAGGAATGAGACAAATAATAAATGTGAAAATATTCTGAAATATGTACATTGCTAATAAACATGAATGGAGAAGAAAGGAAGCATTTATTAAGCGCTTACTACATGCACAGCACTGCACCAAGCCCTGGGGATGCCAACTGAGGGTCCGATGGGCCCTGCCCTCGAGGAGCTCCCACTCTAATGGGGAGAAGACTTCAGCTGCAGTCCCATGAGAAGGTCCCAAAGCAGGGGGTCTGGCCACTTCTTTCATGTCGTTTCCACTGATAAAAATCCTGTTGATTTCTGATGCCGAACCTTGCGACGGGGCCGAGGGCTTTGATGAGGAGAACCTTCCTTCCGGGGTCTCTCGGGGCTGCGTGGGAGCTCCCGCAGGAGTTGTCCCCCGGCTGTGTCTCCCCAGGATGATGGCCGTAGACAGTGGAAGGGCAGGAAGCCCAGCGTTCCCGGGGCTCTGGGACTCAGGGTCCTGGGCTATCTCCATCAGGGTCAAGATGGTGATGGTGGTTTGACTGCCTGGTGAATGGGGTACACACCCTGGGTCTCACTTAAAGTGCCTCACTATTTCAGCCAAGCCGGCTTGCCTGCCCCGGGGTGGCAGTGGTCGGCAGTCGGTGGGGGTGACTCTTCCCCAGATAACGTCTGTAAGAGCTGAGCTGGCCACAGGACTGGTGGTCTGGGGGGGGCAGTTCCTGCGCCTAGCTGCCTGGGGGTGCTGGTTGGTCTGTAGTTATTGCTGGTGGCAGTGACGAAAGCCACCCCCCTCTCCACAATGATGGCTGTGCTGAAAGTCAGTTTGTCAGTTTGGGGGCAACGCCATTCCCCAGGCTCTGGGGTTAGGAATCCTTGGGAAGATGGTGGTCAAGGTGGTGGCAGATTGACAAGTGAGACAAAGTGAGTGCGTGAAAAAGATGTGTCCAGACCCTGGGAAAGGGATGGGTGGTCCTAGCCCAGACCAGGAAACGGCCAGCTCCCAAGCTCTCTTTGCTCTGTGGACTTCAGCTAGCCTGGCACTAGATGGAAGCCTTGCCTGGGACAGGCTCCCAATCCAGGCCCAAGGAAGGCAGTCACTATGGAAATGAGAGAACAGGCCCTTGAACTTGGCGTGGGCGGCCGAAAGAAGATGGCGGGAAGCAGGCCCTCCAAGGTCAAACGTCTGGGCTGCCTTCCAGATGCAGCAGTTCAAGTGAGAATACTTGGAAGAAAGATCCCGTCCAAAGAGGGAAAGGAGGAGAGGAGAGGAGAGGAGCGGAGAGGAGCGGAGAGGAGCAGGGCCCTGGAAGGGCAGGGCAGGGGCGGGGCCTTGCAGGCCACCAAGTACAAAGACAGAAAGCTATTGTCACCAGCAGCCCTCACTTACACTAGATGGCCCTATCTTGGGACTTTCTCATCCAGGGCTGATCAAAGCACAGGGAATAAAAAAGCAAAGCGACCAGTCCTGGGACAAAAGGACCCAAACCCTTGACCTAGGCAGGGAAAGCCTCCTCCAGCCCCAACAGACCTCACCAAGAGAAGTTTCTGCAAGCTCCCAAAGGGCTCTGAGAAATAAAAGGTCTGTAATTGTCCTCAGCTCTTCCCACAAAGGATCTCCTCTATCCTAGCCCAGAGCAGGGGGGGCTCAGAGTCTAAGAAAAGAAAATGACCTTCCCCCATTTCTGCTATTGTGATGGTATTTCTAAGCAGGATAATGTTACCAGCTCAGAAAAACGGAGCCACGTCTGCTCTCATCAACTTCCAGCACCTCTGGGCACCTCCAGTCCCTCTGGTGCAACTGTTTGCCTTCTCATCTGTATAGTCAGAGGGGAAGAGGAGGAGGAGGAGGACGGGGGGACCCAGAAAGAAGAGGGCTGAGGCCCAAAGTCCAGCGTTTGGGTGGTACGAGCTGGGAGGAACCCATCAGCAGCCAAGATCGAGGGCCCAGCCAGGCTGATCTCTCCCGGGGAAAGGGAGGAAGGGAACCCAGATGAAGGTCTGAGGAGGGACAGCAGCATTGCACCCAGGGACGAAGGAGCCCCCTCAGCCACCCTGCGGCCCCTATTTCTGTCTTACTTTTTTGGGGCTCTCTGAGCCAATAAGAAAAGAGTCCTGGCCTTCTCTCCCAGGCAGGGGACGGGGCTGCTGTCGTGCCACAGCGGACCTCGCCACCTTCCCCTGGGACTTGGGGCGCTCCGGAAGCAGGTCTGAGCGACGGCAGGACCTGATAACAGGGCAGAAGCTGCCCCCGTACCCCGGACACCTTCGGGCCCCGGGGGTACCTCAGGAAGAGCCGGCCGCAGCAGGGACGAACAGGCCAAAGAGGTCAACTCCTGCTATCCAATCCCCTTGTTTTACAGATAAGGAAACTGAGGTACAGAAAGGTTAAGTGTCCTGCTTAGGCTCTCACGGGTAATTAAGTGTCAGAGGTGGGATCTGAAGCCAGGCCCTCCGACTCCACACCACCAAACTTTCCAGGGTCCACTAAGTCAAAAATGCCCTTTCAATTTCACACTGAGAAGGAAAAAGCTCATGCTGGAGAAAGGCAGAAATCCAGGGCAGCCTCTAAAAACAAGGCCAGGAGACTAAAAGAAGCAGGAAAAGCAGAGGAGGCGGGATGGGGGCTCTTCTCCTTCCTTTGGTCACCCCCCTCCCCCACCCCACGCCTGCTCTAGTCCAGAGAACAGACAAGGTGGGACGGCTTGCTGTGGGAGTGTGGGGATGGGCGCCAAGACCACGGGTCAGAGTCCTCTGAGGTGAGAGGGGGAGGCTCCCCGCCACGGTGGAGCAAGCCCCAGCTGGGGAGTCACCTCTTTGTCCCTCAGCTTCCCCATTTGTAAAATGAGAGGGGTGAAATTAAATGACCTCTAACCTTCCTCCCAGCTCCAAACCCCATCACCCAATCAAAGCCCCTCATTATACAGCAGACAGAGCTGAGATCTGGTCAGAGGGCCTGGGTTCAAATCCTGCTTTGGCCAGTTACCCCGGGTGTGATCTTTTTTTTTTTTTGGTTAGGCAATTGGGGTTAAGTGACTTGCCCAGGGTCACAAAGCTAGTAAGTGTCAAGTGTTTGGTCTGAGGCCGGATTTGAACTCAGGTCCTCCTGACTTCAGGGCCGGTGCTCCATCTACTGCGCCGCCTAGCTGCCCCACCGGATGTGATCTTAAGCAACCTCTCTCCCTCTCGGGCCTCAGTTTCCACATCTGTGAAGCAATGGGGCCGGACTTGGAAAGGGCCTCTGAGCTCCGATCCCACCTTAAAGCTCTCAGAAGGAAACAGCGCCCCAGATTCTAGTCCAGGCCTTTCCAGCCCTTTTGCACGCCAGTCACTGACCTTACTTTGCAAGTGGTGAGCGCCCCATGACTTTCTCTGAAGGAAGCTTGGGCCTGGTCGGAGGATTCCGGGCCCAGCCCGGGAAGGCCCCCTCTGGGGCCCATCCTGGACTTGACTCTCCTACTCAGAGACCTTTGGGCAGGCCCACCTGCCCAGCCTCCACCTCCCTTCTCACACGACCTGCTCACGTCCTAGGCCCTCTCTGGCGGGTGGCAGGCACATCTCCTTCCATCTCTACTTGAGGCCCAAGTCCACGCTGGCGCCGCCCCCCATATCCATCATCCCGTGGCGCTGAGACACAAAGGAACGTCCGTCTCCATCCTGCCGGCAACGGAATCCCACTTGTTTCCATTTACCCTCCTCCTCGCTAGCCGACCAATTTCTAAGCTGGGCCTGGGTGTTTACATCTCGCCCGTGTTTACCCAAACTTCTGCTAAGTCTGTGCTGTGGCCCGAGCCGGGAATGCCTTGCTGAGCACAGTGCTCCTGCGGGCGCCGCTCGCTTCCCTGGTCGGCAGGGCCAGCCCAGACTCTTACCAGCTCGGGGTGTAAAGGCTTGCGTGTGATGGAGTCAGCGGCACCTTGGTTTTCGAGAGGCCGGGTCAGGATCATCGCCATGGCAATGCAGTCAGGTGCTGGGATCCATCACAGCACGGACCGACTTTCTAGCGCCAAGGCATCTTCTGGGGCCCTGGGGGTCAGCACGACCAGCTCTCCATCAGCGGCCGGCCCTCAGAGTGGCTGGCCCGAGATGTGGGCCACGCGTGCTCGGCGACCTGGAACGATAAAAGAAGAGGTTCCTGCTAAGCATCTGTGCTCCACACCAGAGTCTGAACCCAAGTGACCCTGCCCAGAGACGAGTGACGTCGTGGAGCCCGACACACACAGCTCGTGACAGAGGCGGGACGGTGTGCTGGTCAAAGGCCCGCACGGGCAGGGAGGCTCGGGGCAACAGAGCCCCGTGATCGAGTCCCCACCCCCACCCCCGGCTCAGCTTTGGGGAGTCACGTGCTCGGCCAGTCCAGGAATGCAGGCAGGTTCAGCTCATTAACACCTTTCACCTTGGCCATCTACCAAGATCTGGATTCTAGATTGTCTCACATCCTCAGACGCCTGCTCCGAGCGGGCCTCCGCATTCATCTCAGTGTAGACTGAGCCAGGCCCACGGAGGCGGAACGTTCACCCTCTCCCTGACGGTTCCCCCCGTCCTCGGCTCTCTGTGAGAAGGACAGACGGACGACGGACGGACTGACGGACAGACAGGGTGGGGGTGGGCTCTGCATTCACACCATTTCTGCCTGGGAGAGTCGTGCGGGGGGCAGGACAGCATTTTTTTCATCCTCATAGAATCAAACCAAGCCAAGCCCAGCTGACTCTGAGATCACCAAGCTCTGCAGCGAGGGCCCATCCACACACAAGCCCGGAGGCCCTCACAGCCCTGCCCAGACCCAGCCAAAGGCCCTGTCCAGCTCCGGGTCCCGGGATCCTCTGACCCAGTTCTCTGTTCCCAGCCTCTCTCTTCCGCTCCCTGCTCTGACTGCGGACGTCAGGTCTGATTTGAAAAGCGCCATTTCCAGAATCGCTCCCCTCAACCACTCGGAGGCTCAGGTGACAGACCGCAAGGAAACTGGCTGCCTCCACCCAAATTAAAGGCAGCTCCTAATCAATCATGAAAACCAAAGTGGGGCAGGGGTGGGAAGTTGGAGAATCCCGATCCAGGAGTCAAAGCCAACTGCAAACTTACTTGTTTGTGTCCTGCAGATGTAAATCATCTTCCTGTTTACTCGTCTTTGGCCTTACAGTGGGTGATACTGAGATTGCTCAAGTGTGGGCCAGCTGGCCAACAGGGGGTATTTACCTTCTACTGTTCCTGAAAAACCAGGTTCATCCAAAGTGCAGAATCGGGGAAGGGAAATAGGTTGGCTTCTCCAGGATTCGCCGGCTGAGCCTGCCGGGCTGACGTCATGTGTGGAGACAAGCCGCCACTCACCGGGGTGGGGAGGATGCCCTCAAAGGTGCCAGGCAAGGAGGTCCCCAAGCCAACCCCCTCTGCCTCCTCCCTTTGGGCTGAATTCACACTGGGGACTCAGTGGAGGCTGGCAATGATGGTCTCTATTCCAGGAGAGGCCAGGGGTGGGGAGGGGTCATGGGGAAAGTGTATTCACTCCTTGTACAATGAGGGGAGGGGATATAGGGATGGCAGTGATCTAGAGAGTCAGGAGAGCCCTGGGTTCAAATGCTGATACTTGACTGAATAAACCCGGCTCCCTCTCTGGGCCACCTTTGTGTGTTTCAAAAAGAACTGAAGATTGGCGCAGTGGATAGAGCACCTGCCCTGAAGTCAGGAGGACCTGAGTTCAAATCCGGCCTCAGACCAAACACTTGATACGTACTAGCTGTGTGACCCTGGGCAAGTCACTTAACCCTAAGTGCCTAAAAAAAAAATTAAATTAAATTAATTTAAAATTTAAAAAAAAAAAAAGATCTGAAGACATGGGAGCGTGGCTTGTCTACAGTCCCTCCTGTTCCCACTGGCTTTTGACCCAGCACCCAGAGCTCGAGTTTAGGAGGCACACAGAAATCAGCACGTCCCACTTTCTCATTTTACAGAGGGAACCGAAGCCCAGAGAGAGGAAGTTTTGTAGGACCCTGGATCTCTGGCAGTCACAGAGTCTGGCTCCCATTTTACAGACAGGAAAACTGAGGCTCAGGCAGGTGACTTGACTGGACTATCAAAGCCACCCAGCTAGTAGCTTTCTGCCTGTGAATCTGGCATTCCACCCAGTCTACTCTGCTATGCTCCCTCCTCTCTGTCTACCAGGGCACTTAGCCAAAGTCTCAGAGGGAAAGGCAGGATTTGAATGCAGATCTCCTGACTCGGGAACACAGTTTTTCCCACCACACTGCCTGGTCCAGCCTAAGTAGGCAGAGAAATAGCCACTCTTCTCCTCAATTTATCATAAACATGGTCAGCTCCTCACCTGAAAGCCAAAACATTAAGAGTAGCTAACTAGGGCGCAGCTAGGTGGCGCAGTGGATAGAGCTCTGGCCTTGGAGTCAGAAGGACCCGAGTTCAAATCCAACCTCAGACACTTGACACTTACTAGCTGTGTGACCCTGAGCAAGTCATTTAACCCTGATTGCCCCATCTCAAAAAAAAAAAAAAAGAGTAGCTGACTTCACATTCCCAAATTCTTTTCTCTGAGAGGGAGGGACACTCCCCAAGTGGGCAACATTAGCTAATGAATACACTCTCACATGAAAATATTACCACCTTCGTCAGGGCTGAGCACCCTCTCTGGGCCGGTTAATGGGGGACTTCTCAGCCTGAGCAAGGTTCTGCTGGCTGGATTGAAAAGGGGACCCCCCCACTGGAGGATGCGGGTGTCCCCAGGCTGGTCTCTTTTTCCTCCACACTCCTTCCCTTCTCATCAGCTCTCCTGGATTCCTCCATCATCTCTGTACAGACGATTTTTGGATGACTTTGTGTAGTCCTGACCTCACAATGGACCTCACCTCTGACCTCGCCTCTCCAACTGCCTGATGGGTGTTTCAAGTACAGACATCTTACGCTCAACCTGACCTTTCCCCAACATCTGGTGATCTTCCCACCTTCCCCATGGCGGGTGAGAGCCCTGCCCTCCTCCCAGACCCTCTGCCCACAACCTGCCCGGCACCCTGGCCTCCTCCCAGACCCTCTGCCCACAAGCTGCCCAGCACCCTCGCCTC